GAACACAACTCCGCTCGTTCTTGAATCTTGGACAGTGAACGACGAGAACAACGCCACTTGTACACTCTCACGGCTACTATTAGAGTGGGGCTTCAGTCTGGCGGTCGCGCTAGATGTCGCCGTTCTGGCCGCACTTGTTGCATGTCGTGAGAGGGCACTTTCGGAAAGAGTGGACAATCGCTTGGCCGGTCTTGCCCGCGGTACGGCGGCATTTGTTGCATTTAGCCTGCGTGGTCCCCTTGCCGCCCCGTCCCTTGTTGCGCGTCCCCTGGTTGAACTGTAGCCCGCCTGGGATGCCAAGGCGAGTGGCTGCATCCCGCGGGCTCCGTAACCGACCCCTTCCCCAGCCATGCCTCCCCCGATGAGCGCGGGGTGGTGCTTTGGCAAGCCTGCTTGGAGCCGCGCCTCTTTCAGCTTCTTGAACGGCCTCACGGTCCACTGTCGGGTTCTTGTGAGCCGAAGACTGCAAGAGTTGTCGTCCTCGGCTCACAAAAACCGGACAGTGGACCGTAAGGCTGTGCTCAACAAGCTTGAAGAGGCGCGACTTCAAGCAGGCTTGCCGAAGCACTACCCCGCGCTCATCGGGGGAGGCATGGGTGGGGCAGGGGTCGGTTACGGAGCCCGCGGGATGCAGCCACTCGCCTTGGCATCCCAGGCGGGCTACAGTTCAACCAGGGGACGCGCAACAAGGGCCAGGGCGGCGAGGGGACCACGCAGGCTAAATGCAACAAATGCCGCCGTACCGCGGGCAAGACCGGCCAAGCTTTTATCCATTCTTTCCGCAACTGCCCTCTCACGACATGCAACAAGTGCGGCCAGAACGGCCACATTGAGCGCGACTGCCAGAACTGAAGGCCCTCTAGCAGCGTTATCTTGTCCTTCACTGTCGAAGGTTGCAGAACGAGCAGAGTTGTGTTCGCCTTTCGTTTCGTTGGTTTCCAGTTCGGCATGATGCTAAAGAATATCCGGTTTCGATCAGTTGCTCTTTGGAACGGTCCCGTCGGCGCTGTTTCCTTTCGGCCTAGCAGAGAGTCGGCGGCACCCCTCACCTAAGTTGGCAGCGGCGAGCGGCGCTGTCTACGGCACGCCGTTGTTCGGTGATGGGAAGGTCGTCCTAAATAGGCGGCTCTCGACGGGATGGGTAGGGAGAGTAGGAGAGCTTGAGGAAGAGTAGGGGAGCTTGGAAGGCTCGTGTTCGCCGGCGGCGGCGGGGGACGAAGAGGCCGCCGCCGCCGCACACCATGCGCGGGAATTGTTGCGTCAAGAACGGCAGCAGAGGGCTTCCAAGGCCACCGAGTAGGCCACCAAGCTGCGGGATCGGCGCGCCACCGCAACCGATCGCCTCCGTCAACTACTCAAAAGAGACGGCCGCCCTTGAGCGCCAGCAGCGCGACAGGCGACAGACAAGCCGCAATCGAACACGCGGAACGAGAGAGACAGCCCCGTCGACGACTTCGGCAGCAAGCCACGCTCTTCAAACGCCGCATCTATGGTGGCGCCCGCAAGGCCGCTCCATCCCCACCACAGCCCGTCGGACCAGGTCTACACTGCGATCTCGTCACAATTTGGGCTGGAGGACCCTTTTGACGCGAATTATGTGTTGCAGCTTTATATACTTGGTACAACGGTAGCGTTCAAACCCTCCCCTCGCTGTATGTGAGGATTGAACTGGGTTCATCTGTCGCGAAACTGCTGTATTTTTGGGCGCTCACAATGCCCAGCACAAGGTCAGAGAACCCTCCCCCCCCCGGCAGCTGGTAACTGTCAGAGTTGCGACACACAGAGTATTCGACACCCCGGCGTGTTTCTCTTGTGTTTTTCTCTTTCTCTTTGACCCCCCACCGCCGGGTCTCCCACCCTTTCTACAGTTTTCCCAAACGACCCATGGGCTGCCCACGACCGGCCCATGGGCAACCCATGGGCGGCCAATGAGAGCCCTTCAACCGAACCAGTGTACTCCTAAACAATAGATTATCTGCTTTGGAACGGGCACGTAGCGGCAAAATAACCCTAACGCTACCCGTAGCCCTAACCGCAAGCCCACACGGTACGTGCTAGACTGGCGCTGGTGCCTAAATTCTAGGTTGATATGCCGGTGGCGAAGTTCTAGGTTGAAGTGCCCATGAGCGGTCCATGGGTGACACCTGGGTGTCCCATGGGCGGTTAAGCAAAACTGTAAGTAGCGTGGGAGATTGCCACCGCCTAGGTGATGGGGTCCTGTGGTAACAAAGCTCCGTCCTCTCACCCGCCGCCCCCCCCCCCCCCCCCCCCCCCCCCCCCCCCCCCCCCCCCCCCCCCCCCCCCCCCCCCCCCCCCCCCCCCCCCCCCCCCCCCCCCCCCCCCCCCCCCCCCCCCCCCCCCCCCCCCCCCCCCCCCCCCCCCCCCCCCCCCCCCCCCCCCCCCCCCCCCCCCCCCCCCCCCCCCCCCCCCCCCCCCCCCCCCCCCCCCCCCCCCCCCCCCCCCCCCCCCCCCCCCCCCCCCCCCCCCCCCCCCCCCCCCCCCCCCCCCCCCCCCCCCCCCCCCCCCCCCCCCCCCCCCCCCCCCCCCCCCCCCCCCCCCCCCCCCCCCCCCCCCCCCCCCCCCCCCCCCCCCCCCCCCCCCCCCCCCCCCCCCCCCCCCCCCCCCCCCCCCCCCCCCCCCCCCCCCCCCCCCCCCCCCCCCCCCCCCCCCCCCCCCCCCCCCCCCCCCCCCCCCCCCCCCCCCCCCCCCCCCCCCCCCCCCCCCCCCCCCCCCCCCCCCCCCCCCCCCCCCCCCCCCCCCCCCCCCCCCCCCCCCCCCCCCCCCCCCCCCCCCCCCCCCCCCCCCCCCCCCCCCCCCCCCCCCCCCCCCCCCCCCCCCCCCCCCCCCCCCCCCCCCCCCCCCCCCCCCCCCCCCCCCCCCCCCCCCCCCCCCCCCCCCCCCCCCCGCGACTTCCGGCTGCCGTCGCCCCCGTACAAATCCCCATCCCCGTCGACTGCGGTTATTTCTAGAACGGACAACACAGTTTTTTTTTTAATCCCGGTCCCTTGCTTCTGCTACTGCTGCCAGGGACTTGTGCGTGGACTTCACCTCTAACTGTGAGAACATCACCTCGGACAGAAGGTTCCTGCTCATGTCGCTAATCAGCCTGTGGGTCGGCCTGGGACTGGCGTTTATCGTGGCCGTGGTGTCGATGAGGGTGGTGGCCACGACCTACGACGCGGCGGCAATCGCCAAGGCGGAGGAGAAGAAGCTCATGAAGGCCAAGTTCGCCAGGGACTCGGCGACGGCGGCACCGCCTTTCGGGGGTCCCGTTTGAATTTTTCGGCGCGATGACAAATTGTGTCGACCGTCTCGTGAGGGAGGGCGGTGTGGCGTGCTGCATTCGGCTACTGGCATAGCCGAAACCGTTATATTCGGCGCCACCGTCCAAGGTATTAGTCTGTCTCGCGGGGGCGCACGCCGTGGTTTTTCGGTATGATAGTTTGCTCAATAATTGGGAGTGCTTGATGAAGTCGCCCCGTTTATGTATGTGGTGCCTAATTTTTGTGCGGACGTGGAAGAGTGTACGAAGTCCGCTAAAACCAACTGACTCTAAAAAGAAGCAAGTAAAGCAGTTGTAGCGCCATCGCTGAGTTTCGACGGCAATTCCATTCGGACGTACTGCTATATTATTTCATGTTTGAGCCTTTCATTGATTCATGCATATTATAGTTGTTCGTCGTTTCCGACACGAACCCTCCGATGTCGGCAAAGCGTCTCGCGACTTTTTTCCTTTTTTCTACCCTCGAGATTGCGGTGTAAAAGCCTAAGTTAGTAAAGATGGATGAGAACAAAAAAAAATTGTAGTAGGGAGAGGAAATTGAGCGAACGTTGGTGCCACTCTCTTGTCCAGCGGTTTCAATGTCAAGACATAAGTCTACGTGTATGTGGTGCCAGGGTTTGCTAGCGAAAGGGAGGTGCCAGCGGTCGCAAAGTGATTTTGGGTGGCTGATTTCTTTCGGGTTCTATTTGCGTCCGATTGTGAGGCAAGGGTTGCTGTTGTCTTTACACTAAACAGTGTGGAAGGGCCTAAAAGCTGTCATTTGGTGGTTCAGTAGTGGAGCCTGTATAGTGCCGGGTGCCCGGTATAGTGCCGGTGTGTTCGGCTCGCACACACTGAAATACCAAGTCGTTCTGTACTCTGAATAGCGCCAGTGTCCGGTATATAGTGCCGGCAAAATCTCTGGACACATACGGGCACTATACCGGGCCCACTACTGTACGTGTAGTATAGTCTAGTATTATTCGATTCTTGTCACGGGCGTAAGCTCTTAGCTTCGTAGTAGACTACAATGTAATGGTCGTAAAAAAAAATGTAATGGTCGTCTTTGTCATCTTGTGGTGGACCACGTGTGCGTGCGTTTGGCATGGATTGATGATGGGTTCGGTTGTTCATCGGCATTCATGCATGTTGAATGTACGTGTCCCTCTTGTTCCCCGTAGCTTTGGGCTGAGAGCTTCATTGTCAGAACTTGATGTCATGCGTGTCTACGCGTGCGCGTGGCTCTCTCGCTCTCCTGCAGCACGCATTGTCCATGGTCTTTGCTTGTTGCCTACACACCGGGATTCCCTCTAAATGGATGGACGAGTTAAGGGTGTGCGAATGTTTGCGTACGTGTTCCAGTGAGTGGCGCATGTCCGGGAGGAGGCGCAGATTCAAGAGAGGTATGTAATATCTTAGGTTCTGGCTTCCCCCCACCCCGCGTTGTGTGTGTTCGGTACTTGGAAAAAACGGGATGGAAAATATCCGTCCCGCTAAAATGTGCAATGTGTCCATGAAGGACAACGAAGAAACGAGGGGAAGAAGTTGTAATTATATGGTAGAAGACGAAAATGCATTCGTTGCTATCGGTTCCCGCTACCAGCGTAAAGGCGATGTTGACTGGTGGGACGCTACCGCTCTCTTGTAACATTTTTCTCTCCTGCGCTACAAATAGCAGGCATGGCCGAAGCCGTCGTATCCTAGGCCCCGGATAGTGGGAATTGCCAGTGGTCAACAAGCTCTAAGAAAGAGCCGTCGCGCCCCTGCGCAATACACCGGTTTTTGAGGCTTTCGCGACAAAAAACGCCAATGCTCAATTAAAATCACCGAGCGAAATACTTTGTCAAACAAAAGCGAGACGTCGTCCGTACGGTCGGTGCCACCATCAAAATATCTACTTGCCTTCGCCCAACTCCTTGGTATGCATGCATACACACAAGTGATGGATGAAGAGGCTGCTGTTGGGGTTCTTCCGTGGGAATCCCATGGCGAGCGAGCTGAGGGGTAGTGAGGAGAGATAGAGTAGGTCCTTGACATGTAATGTAATGCAATGTATAGTCTATGTAGGCAATGTGTGTGCATATGAGCACTTGGGCACGCATGAACCTCAAAAAAACACCTATCCTGATGTATGCATGCAATGTAGATACAGCGGGGATCGCCGAACGCTACAACAATACAAAAAGCGAGCTTGGGACTAATAACGACTACAATGATAGTCATCGGCTTACAGTAAATATGAATTGTTAATCTACCACGGACTCTGTAGCCGCTAGCGGTGGAAGAGATGGGGGTGTGTTGCGTTCTGTGTAAGAAAATGAAAGTGAGAGAACATGGAACGAACGTAGAACAAACGTATTTCAACCGGACGGTCGGTCTGTCCGTGTTATCCACGCGTGACCCTCCCCCGTCAGTGGTGCCGCACCGACGCCAATAAAGAAGGGGTCCTCGAAAGTTCTGGCACTCCGCGGTGCCCCGAAGGCGAACGTGATGAACCAAAGGACGGAAGGCAACGGACAGGAAATGACTGTTGTTGATCGATGCAAATAATATTGTTATTATAGTTACGCAAGCTCAATTAACACACACACACGACGAGCGAGCTGACCACTTAGTGTTTCGTGCCCCGCGTTTGCCCTCGAAAGATGAACAATAATAAAACAAGTATGCGGGAAAATCGCCATCCAACATGTGAAGAAGAGGCTTGCCGTCCAAGACCACAACGACAACCTTCCTCCCGTGGTACACGGGGTAGACATCCAACCAACAGTTCCCCCAAAAATGCATTTCAACCGCACAAAAAAAACGAGCTACCGAGACACAAAATAAACCCACCCTTGAGACCGCCGTACTACAGTAGCCGCAGCAGCAACAACACGGAACCCAAGGGACGGGTGTACGTATGACACAGAGTAGAGCAGAGTAGTCTAAGAGTAGGGTCGGTAGGTCGATTTCAAGCCCACACCCTAGCCGAGACAAAATGTCAACATGTCAACAATCAAGCGCACACGGCCAAAACACACGCCGGGAGCACTCCATCCGGTCATCACTACCAACTGCCCCCCGTCCGGCCACTGAAACTAAAAATAGGCACGGGGAAAGAGCATGCCGTTACTCGCTTCCTCATTGTCAAGCAACAAAAACAAAAGCTTCTACTCCTCGTGTTGGTGTCTGTGTGCCGGCGCTTGTCTACTCCTGTCCTCCAAGAAACAAACACACCAGAACAAAAAATCCTGCCGGCAGCTTGACCACCACCATAACAAGGCCAATTGCCACCGTACGGAAAAACCAACACTCCCCCGTGCCTAATTTCAACAGCAACATGGCACAAGTGCCAACACAAGCGTCAACACAGGCGTGGCAACGAAGGTGAGTGAGGGGCAGACACAACACGCCATAAGGTACTATCATAGTGCCACATCACACACAACACACCCACACCACCTGCAGGCACTCGGCTTGGCAAGCATGAGGAAGCCATGGCGGCGTGTCTCAAGCGCCAGGGAACCTCCAAGCGAAGGACGCAAAAAAAGAGTACAAAGCTACCGTGTAAACTGCACTAATACTTCCATATTATGTACTGGACGTTATTTAGGCACCTGGAATCGAGGTGCAACATCACATCTCACCAATTGGCTACTTGTCACCCGATCGATCGAGAGGGGCATTAACAAACGCCCCCTTTGGGAGCGGTACGAGTTGCGTTGCCCTCTTTTCCATCGGCCGGCGTGTACAATGATCACGCCGTGATATTCATCAGAAAGGCTCACTTCTGTGCCCCCCCCCCCCCCCCCCCCCCCCCCCCCCC